CCCTCGTCCACAACCCGGCTGTACACGAGCGTCGCGACGGGGCCTCCTCCTCCACCTGTGCTTTGTTCCACACGTGGGCCATCCCCCCCCCCCCCCCTCCATGAAGCTGGGTAGTCGGACACCGATTCCGGTACAAACCCGCGTCAACCCCACAGCGTGTACGAGTTGCCACGGTGATGGCCAAAGCATCATGGCGTGACCCACCAACCCTGCCCTCCAGACGCTCGGAGGGCAGGGTTGGTGGCTCACGCCGACACTAAAGTCAAAGACCCCCTGTATAGCCTGAACAGACTGTTGGGGCGAGTGCTGCGAGCGAACGCCTCTGACACCACCACTATCGTCGTTGTCCCCGTGTGCTTGAGACGCCCACGTGCAGGCAAGCCGCACTGACCGTAGGAGGCACGACAGAGCGATATAGGATCGCTGGTCTCTCCTTCCTTCAAGAACATTGGCTAATCGGCCGGTAGCAGGGCCCCCTCAACCGTGAAGAGTGAGTCTTGAGACTCGGGGAAAAGTGAGTCTCCAGACCGAATCAGACAAACTACGGGTTGACAAAATAAAAACTGGGCCCCCGTTTGGTACGAGCAGCAGCGGCGTCTCGCTCCTCCTCTCCCGCCGTGGGCCGTGGCCGTGGCCGGGCCGTGGCCGTGGCCGAGGCCGGGCCGGGCCGTGGCCGTGGCCGAGGCCGGGCCGGGCCGTGGCCGACTCGGGGGCGGTCTAATCGAAGAGTTTTGTACAAAACGCGGCCGTGTAACAAGAACAGTGGGCACCGTCGTGACGACGATCGCACCGGGGGAATAAGTTCCTCAGATCCACTGCCGGCCAGAAAGACGGTGGTGGCTCAAGTGAAGCTGCACTCGAGCGAGACTATGCTCTTCAGGCGCAATCTACACGTGTCGCTATCACGATTCGCAGTTAAACTTTCGGGTGGGTCAGGCGACGGTGATGATCCGGCCGTATTCGTGTCCTCAAGACCCTCCCCCCAGCTACCCCACACAGCCAAACGCTCGCGTGCAACAAGCGTTCATCGCGTTAAATCGTTGCGATGGTTTCACCTTGCCCGAGAGCAATTTCTCAAAGCAATGTTTGGTCCGATCATTCCGCGGCTTCGCCCAAGGCATGAATTGTGAATCGCCAAAAAACTGCCTGAGCAAACACGCCGCAGCCGCCGCGCGCTGAGTGCGATTACGAGTTGCTTTCCGCCGCCGGGAGCATAACCCCGGTGAATTGACGTCGTCGTTAATGCCACTCGAGTGCCGTTGAAATAACTGTGAGCTCGTGCAGATCGGCACATTCCTGTGATTTCTGTAAAAACAAACAAAAAAGCCTCGCGATCGCGTCTGCTGTCGGGCGCCGGCCGGCGCGGTGTGCCGCGGGGCGAGTCTGTGTCGAGGAGCTCTCCTCCCCGTCTCGAGTCTAACGCACGACGCCAGAACCCCCCCGCCGTGCGCAAACCAAACGGCGCGAACTGTCGGGGACGCAAACACCGCTGGACGCGAACGCGGCGACGCCAAGTTGCCGGGTGGGTGGGTCCCGTTCACCGCCGAATCTCGGAAAGCGTGAGCGGCTCAGCGGTCGTTTTACTTCGAGAAATGTAGCGGCGGCGGCAGCGCCGTTTTTTCCAGGCGTTGTTACTCACCGCTGAGAACCGTAGCGATGCGACCGCCGCCACTCCACGATAGCTGGCGCCAAACCGTGCCACACACCCACCCGAAGGGCCTTGTGGGAGCCTCGGTACCGATAAAGTAATTTTATTATTTTTTCTTCCTATTCCGTTACGATCATGTACACACGTACGTCATCGGAATGGGAAAGGGTTAAAATGCAATTTGCGTGAAGCCGCCACTAAAACGATCCGGTTCAATCGCGGGGCAGCACCGGCAGGCGTGACAGCACACCGTCGGCAGCTAGCGATTCAAAACCCGGCCGGGAATAAACCATCTCCGTAACATAGCGGATTCTCGTTAAAAATAATTAGCGATAAAAACGTCTCGGGGGCTCTGTATATATAGAGGTAGTCCCCGACTTACGACGGAGATGCGTGATGACGACCCCATTTGTAAGTCGAAAATATCGTAAGTCGAAAATGGCCTAGCCGAACCCAGGAGTCTTAAAGAATGGTGCTAATTTAGCAAAACAGAGCAATTTACAGTACCGTACTGTGTAAACTATATACTGTATGTATTTATTAATTACAATACTGTATTGCACAGTGAAATTTAAAGTAAAAAACAAGGTAAATTCTTAGCCTACCTATATGAACTGCAATTTCATAGAAAGTTTTTTCAGGAAACAATCCTATCTGCTATAAAAACTTTTAACATGCAATGAACGTATGTATCGTATCGTGGTAACCCTAAAATGAAATCGCTAAAGCTACGTATCATACATGCGCTGAACGTATCTTAACGTATCATATTCTACTGTACTCACCAATATTCTGTCCGTCGTCTGCATACTTGAACGATGTTAGGTTGTTGATGGCTACATTAACTTAGTTGTCCGAAGAGGAGGATGGCGATGATCAAGTTACAGTATCGTACCTCGTACGCTGCGTTTGCCTGCCGCGCGAAATTAAACATATTTTACAATTTTGTCATATCACTATCGCCATTGTAAGATCGAAATATCGTAAGTCGGACCATCGTAAGTCGGGGACTATCTGTATATTGCTTTCCGCAACGGAGGCGCTGGACAGGGATCACGGCAGTCAAAAGGAAACCCTTCATCGCCCCCCAACCCGGAATATGCCCAAGTATATTCTGAAATTATACAACCAAATAAAATGGTGGCTGCTCAGGAGAATTCCAGCTTAATTAACGGGGGCGGCTGACGTGCAGATTCAGAGCTAGGATCTCGGCGGTGATGGCTCAGCATCTCTGGAAGGTATCGGCCCCCTGCAGTGACCGGCCTCTCCGGGATACGTGGAACTATTATTCTTCAACGTATCGGCCCGAACCGATTCCTCTACTTGTTACAGTGCAGCGAACCTCAGATTCAACAGTGACAAGACAACCTATCATAACAGAGCCACGAGTGGAAGGCTGGAGTGTCAACAGATGTGTGCATCGCATGAACAAAAGCTCTCCGAGTTATTAGCGTCTCGAGGCGAGTGCTAACGCGGAGAGAGCTAATGGGGAGAGAGCTAATGGGGGCGAGAGCTAACGAGGCAAGAACTAACGAGGAGAGAGCTAACGGGGGAGAGTGCTAACGGGGAGAGAGCTAACGAGGCGAGAGCTAACGAGGCGAGAGCTAACGGGGAGAGAGCTAATGGGGAAGAGAGCTAACGGGAAGAGAGCTAACGGGGGAGAGAGCTAACGAGGCGAGAGCTAACGGGAAGAGAGCTAACGGGGAGAGAGCTAACGGGGAGAGTGCTAACAGGGGAGAGAGCTAACGGGGAGAGAGCTAACGAGGCGAGAGCTAACGGGGAAGAGAGCTAACGGGGAAGAGAGCTAACGGGGAGAGAGCTAACGGGAAGAGAGCGGGGAAGAGAGCTAACGGGGAGAGAGCTAACGGGGAAGAGAGCTAACGGGGAAGAGAGCTAACGGGGAGAGAGCTAACGGGAAGAGAGCTAACGGGAGAGAGCTAACGGGGAGAGTGCTAACGGGAGAGAGCTAACGGGGAGAGAGCTAAAGGGGAGAGAGCTAACGGGAGAGAGCTAACGGGGAGAGCGCTAACGGGAGAGAGCTAACGGGGAGAGAGCTAACGGGGAGAGTGCTAACGGGGAGAGAGCTAACGGGGAGAGTGCTAACGGGGAGAGAGCTAACGGGGAGAGAGCTAACGGGAGAGAGCTAACGGGAGAGAGCTAACGGGGAGAGAGCTAACGGGAGAGAGCTAACGGGGAGAGAGCTAATGGAGGAGAGAGCTAACGGGGAGAGAGCTAACGGGGAGAGTGCTAACGGGAGAGAGCTAACGGGGAGAGAGCTAACGGGGAGAGAGCTAACGGAGGAGAGAGCTAACGGGGAGAGAGCTAACGGGGAGAGAGCTAACGGAGGAGAGAGCTAACGGGGAGAGAGCTAACGGGGAGAGAGCTAACGGGGAGAGAGCTAACGGGGAGAGTGCTAACGGGGAGAGAGCTAACGGGGAGAGAGCTAACGGGCAGAGTGCTAACGGGAGCTAACGGGGAGAGAGCTAACGGGGAGAGAGCTAACGGAGGAGAGAGCTAACGGGAGAGAGCTAACGGGGAGAGAGCTAACGGGGAGATAGCTAACGGGGAGATAGCTAACGGGGAGAGTGCTAACGGGGAGAGAGCTAACGGGGAGAGTGCTAACGGGAGAGAGCTAACGGGAGAGAGAGCTAACGGGAGAGAGCTAACGGGGAGAGTGCTAACGGGGAGAGAGCTAACGAGGAGAGAGCTAATGGGAGAGAGCTAACGGGGAGAGAGCTAACGGGGAGAGAGCTAACGGGGAGAGTGCTAACGGGAGAGAGCTAACGGGGAGAGAGCTAACGGGGAGAGAGCTAACGGAGGAGAGAGCTAACGGGGAGAGAGCTAACGGGGAGAGAGCTAACGGGGAGAGTGCTAACGGGGAGAGAGCTAACGGGGAGAGAGCTAACGGAGGAGAGAGCTAACGGGGAGAGTGCTAACGGGAGAGAGCTAACGGGGAGAGAGCTAACGGGGAGAGAGCTAACGGAGGAGAGAGCTAACGGGAGAGAGCTAACGGAGGAGAGAGCTAACGGGGAGAGAGCTAACGGGGAGATAGCTAACGGGGAGAGTGCTAACGGGGAGAGAGCTAACGGGGAGAGTGCTAACGGGAGAGAGCTAACGGGAGAGAGAGCTAACGGGAGAGAGAGCTAACGGGAGAGAGCTAACGGGGAGAGTGCTAACGGGGAGAGAGCTAACGAGGAGAGAGCTAACGGTGGAGAGAGCTAACGGGGAGAGTGCTAACGGGAGAGAGCTAACGGGGAGAGAGCTAACGGGGAGAGAGCTAACGGAGGAGAGAGCTAACGGGAGAGAGCTAACGGAGGAGAGAGCTAACGGGGAGAGAGCTAACGGGGAGAGTGCTAACGGGGAGAGAGCTAACGGGGAGAGTGCTAACGGGAGAGAGAGCTAATGGAGAGAGTGCTAATGGGAGAGAGCTAACGGGGAGAGAGCTAACGGGGAGAGAGAGCTAACGGGGCGAGTGTAGGGGTACAAGTTCTCTCCATGCTAGTGTTCCCAGGGCAAGTGGCAGCAGCGAACATTGCTGCTGGCCATGCTGTGCTGACGAGTCTGAACAAGGAGGACGAAACCGCTCTACGGTCGTCTTCGCTTCACTCTGTGCCCTGCGTCGGTTGTCCACGTGTATCGAGTTGTCCACGTGTATCGAGTTGTCCACGTGTATCGAGTTGTCCACGTGTATCGAGTTGTCCACGTGTATCGAGTTGTCCACGTGTATCGAGTTGGCAGCCGGAGAGACAACGGTGACCACGATGTGGTTCTTCCGAACCGGTGGCTCTGCATCGAGACCGAGAGCTGCCGCGCACGCTACGCCGCGAGTGTGCTGCTGCTCCATCTGGATCCGTACCGCACGTCACGGTCACGTGGGTTTGAGACGTACCGCAAGGACGCGGAGCACCCCCAGCTGACGAAATCGTGAAGAGTGGAGCGGGTTGCTGGTCGGCGACTCGCGACGCCACCGGTTCGGGCGAATCCCCCAGACGCGGAGCTCACCAGGACCACGTCCGAGTGGCGGGTTCAGATCAACCGTCCCGCATGGCAAGACCCGCGATACCGATGAGAGAATCAACCCGGCGAGAGTTAACGCGCTAGAGGCCCTGGTGGTCAGCACAACGCGTCCGGCGTTTGTTTTTTGGGTCGAACCGCACGGCGGTTTGCCTTCATGCCAAGATTATCGACATGAGCCTCCACCGCCCAACGAGAGCGGCACGTTCACACAGGCGTTGTTGTTGTTGTTTAGCCGAGCGTCGTCGTACGTCGTTCGTGTTGAATGCTGTCCAGAAAAGGCCTCGAGAGCCACCTAACGATCCCCATCGGTCAGAATATGATTGGTACACTAGCAACGCGTGCAACTGAACATCTGCGTAAACGTGGCAACCACGTCGGGTGGTGGAGGGCCAACGACGAGAATTTTGGAATTTAACTAAAACAAACTACGTGGGGCCGAACCCAAAAACGAACATGGATCACACACGCGTGACCCTGTCGTGCGAGCGTCCGCAGCGGAGGAAACGACGGCGATTGCCAAACCCACGCATCCCTTCATGCCGGCTCGGCGGCTGGGTACCTCCCGACACGGCCATTGTAAACCAAGCCCCCTGAGCCACCTCGCCAGCCACCTCGTCAGCCGACTCGTCACCCGCCTCGTCATCCGCCTCGCCAGCCGTCTCGTCTCCCGCCTCGTCAGCAAGCTCGTCAGCGTGCGAACTGGCGGTAGAAGGCGGCCTTGAGCCGCTCAACGTGGTGGCACAACTTGACGGCGGGGCCCAACTTGATGTCCATGCACTCCTGCACCGTTGCCAGCGTGAGCAGCAGCAGTGCCTGCCCGTCGATCTCCTGCCGGGGGGGGGGGGGGGGGGGGGGGGGGGCGGCACCGGCGCGCGTCGTCAGGACAGTGGGGGAAGAAGCTGTGGGTCACGTGACGCGTCGGGGAGGTGGGGGCTGGTCATCTGCGGGCAGTGGACCCAAGCCAGCGGTGGCAATTCCACAGTCCTGGTTGTGGCACCTGGAGCGATGATTATGAGGATGATGATGGTGATAGATGTAGAATTGAGCAATGCTTGCGAACGTTTGTGGACCTTCGATCACCGCCAACGCTCTCGCCGACGCACCGTGCACCATTTTTCATAATTAAAACTGCTCAAAAAGACCTTTAACAAGTTAGTTAATTCGAAGGCCGTAAAAATTGCTAGCTTTCCGTTTATTGCCGAATACATAAATAGTTGTGCAATGAGAAGTAAAAAAATATATAGCCATATAGGTTTTTTTTTTGGGTTAGATTGTGTAAATTGTTCATCAAACCCGCCACCACCCGACACAGCCAATTAGTAAGATTTGTCAGGTAAATAGAACATGCCAATTCGTTAATAGCACAGCACACCAGTGTGTTGGAGAGCAAATCCACAACATTTACAATATGGAAACGATATTTATATATTGTAGAATATATATTGTCAAATCCACGGCAGCACCGCGGACCATGCCCTTGCAGGCCAGCAGCGGCGCATAGCCCGTGGGCGGTAGCCGCCAGTTTAGACAACGCAAGATGACGGTGGTGGTGGTGGACTATAGACGACTGGGGTGGATGACGGCGATGACAGCGGCAACAGTGGCGATAATGGCGGTGATGGCGATGATGATGGCGATGGCTCGCCTGTTCCAGGAAGAGCCGTGCCATGGGGGAGCAGTCGGTGTTCTTGATGTACCGCACCACGTCCGCCACGCTCCACCCCAGCGGGTTGCTCTCCAGCGCAAACTCCTGCTGCGCCGGCGTCGGCGCCGTCGCCGACGACGGCTGCTGCTGCTGCTGCTGCGGCGTCACCGGCTGCCGCGTTGACTCGGCCGCCGGTTCCGGCTTCTCCTGCTTGGGCCGCTGGCGCGCAGATCCGCGGTGCGCGGCGCCGTTCCGGGTAGCCAGCAGGGGTCCCGGGGAGGGGAGGGGAGCGGAGCGGAAAGCAGGCGACCGGGACGTTGATCAGAGTCCAGGGACGCGCCATCGCCCAGGACGGCCTCACCGAGGAGTCTCAAGACACGCGTTCGGGAAGTTCCTGTCAAGTTTTCGCAGTACGGGGGGGGCGATGTTCCTGCTGCTGCTGTTGTGTGATTCCAAGCGAGTAGGGTCGCCACGGTGGTAAGATGTTATCTGCCTTGCCTGGTATGCAGGAGGTCCGTGGATTCAATCCCAACCCTGATGCTTGCTGTATATTTGGAGTTTGCATGCGTCTCCCTCCGCGTGGTGGCGTGGATTTTTCTCCAGGTTCTCCGAATTATCTTTCCGCCTTTAGAATAAACATGCACTATAAATTTCCATGCGATAAGCCACTTCGTTGAGCTATCATTTGTGAAAGCCAGGTCGCTTCTGAAAAAGAGCTATATAACTCAGTGGGGCCTTACGTGGTAAAATGAAAATACTTTAGTTTACAGTAATTTTGCCGGAATTTATTTTGGCACTCTGAATGTTGTTTGGCAAGTACCAGTTTAAACGTGTGTTATCATTTTGTAGCTATGGGAGGAAACCGGAGAACCTGGTGGAAACCGATGCAGAACAGGGGGAGTACATGGAGACTCCGCACAAAAAGGCGACCGAGTCGGGAATCAAACCCAGGCGGCTTTTTGCCGCTAGTGTCACCGCGCTGTTCACAACGGCTCGGAGGTCGACACGAGCAATGCAACAGAGTTTTTCTTCAGCCACCGACGGCAGTGGCGCTCGGCTAAAAGAACACTGGGCGTGGGTCGGTGCGGGTTAGGTACAGCGACCCCATACCTGGGAGAGGGGGTCCTTGCCTATAAACATCTGGCAACTCACCAGCATTGGTTCAAGCTAAAGAAGCCCGATTCTCTCCTTACCAATGAGAGAGACTGAACGCCGACGGTCGGGGAAGACGAGCGGGCTCAGGCACCGTGACAACGACGCCAGAGTGGACGCTATGAGTGGACGAGACTGGCGACAGGACGGCAGCCGGTGGAGGGAACGCCGCAGCACGATGATGGCCACCGTGCTGGCGGTGGCGGCGACGGTGGGAGCGATGGGACCGGTGTACTAAAACTAAACAATTACATTTTTTATTTTACCAGGTAAGTGCCAATGAGCTGCTATATAGCTATTTTTCGGAAGCGACCTGGTCACTAGCTAAACAAAGTGGCTTATCGCGTGGGAATTTATAGCAGCCAAATATTCGAAACGAGTGATGTTGATTCTAAATGTGGAAGGGAAAACCGGAGAACCTGGAGAAAATCCACGCCACCATGGGGAGAACATGCAAACTCCAAATATACAGGCGTCAGGGCCGGGCTCGAAACCACAACCTCACATTATCACTGTCACACTCAGATACTTCTGCCCTCCCATATCGTCCCGTTTGCCAAGCTCCCCGACGCCTGCTGTATATTTGGAGTTTGCGTGCCTCTCTCTCTATCATCACGGTGGCTAGATGTTAACTACCTCGCATGGTGTACAGGAGATCGTGGGTTCGATCCCGAGTTTGCGTGTGTCTCTCCCCGTGGTGGCGTGGATTTTTCTCCGGTTGCTCCAGTTATTCCCTCCACATTTAGAATCAACATCACGCATTTCGAGTATTCGGCTGCTAATACATTTCCGAATGATAAGCTACTTCGTTGAGCCACCGTTCGTGATAGCCAAGTCACTTCTGAAAAAGAGCTAAGAAGCTGTGGGCCTTACATGGTAAAATAAAAAAAATTGTTAAAATAGTTTTAGATCAACTGCGTGACCGTGGGATTCATACAGAATGACGGCGGACCAGGGAAGGCCTTCATCCAGGAGTTAATAGATCATAACCGCCGGGTAACTTTGAGTGGCCTTCAACATCGGTGCAGGATAGGCTCCGTTAGCTACATCACTGGTCCGTAACGCAAACGTGTTTCGGCCGCACACTAACGACGATGATCAATGATAACAATTGAAAGCGATCGTGGCCATGGCATTGATTGATTACGACCGCGTGTTGATTGTAATGCCCGACTGACGATGGTGATGTTAATAACGTTACACGTCGTCGCATTGCAACGGGCGACGACGGCGATGAGGACGCTGCTGCCAACCACTAAAGCGCTTTAACACCGTCCGCCTCGTTTTCAAACAGTCCTTGAAACGACGGCAATGTGGACCGCCCGACGCGTCAACATTTGCAGTGTCTCCAGTTTCTTGCTGTAGTCAATCCAAGTGAACTGCGTGGTAAAAACATCTCTCAAATGAGGAAATCTTTACAACTACCGTCGATTTTCCCGACTGGCATTTCGTTGCCCTGCCCAGGGGAGGCGTAGCACGCACCGTGGGCCCCATCTCTGCACGATCCACTAGCCCCGCGTCGAGGCCACTCGATTTCTTCCGAATTGCTTATTGCATTCGGTGTGTTGTCCTTCCCCCGGAACTTCCGATTAGCAACATGGTTGGCTACGTACGGCGCTAAAGAAGTTCAACGTACGTGCAGAGCAGGGCGAGCGTGTGGGCTGTCCGGCGTCACTCGCGCCAGAAAAGAAGCACAGCCTTCAGAATCGGTCAAATCAACCCCGCTGGCGTTCCGACACGCGGCGGTCTGCTCGGCAGTCAGGAATGGGCAAAGGCGACTGAACGCCAGATCCCTTCGCAGCTACGAGCGCTTCGCCCCTTCAGGGTGCCCCCCCCCCCCCCCACCGGAAGGCATCGCAAGCGAGGCGGGTGGGGACCCCGTGGTCCTCTGTTTGGCAAACACCGGTGTTGTGGGTTTCAGCCGTGCGTCGGGCCAGAAGGCAGCACAGCCATGGATTCTCAAATCTATCCGTGCGGAGCTTCGAGTGGTGCCCCATTGTGAGGTCTCCTCCCGCACAAAGGTAAACCTCTCCTCGTTCATGGGATCATCGCCCCAACCATCCCAATGTAGAAAGAGATTCTCGAGATCCAGCAAGGGCTTTCCTTAACTAAATAACGACCATCATCATTATTACGATCCTGACACACAGTGGAGATCGTCAAATGCCTCCCCCCCCCCCCCACCGTCTCCCTGGGCCAACATCAGGAAACCAACCACGTTTCACAAGGAAGTCGACGCTCGCCAATGGCTCTTTATTCACTTGCTGCCCACCGGTCCGCCGGCGAGACTCACGACAGCCCGATCGCAGATATACAACAAACATAACGCCAGCAAACTAAACAGCAGACGCACGAAAGGCATACAAAGCGGCGGCGGCAGCGGCACAACGCACACGGTGCTTCTCCAGGCGCTGAGGCGTCGGCGTAAACGCAAAAAACGTAAAGTGAAACTGCGTTGCTTTAAATCCTCTTTCATCCTCCTGGCACTCTGCTGGGTGCGCACGTCGTCAGCGAACAGCGACCAGGCCCGGCGCCACCATTGCCCGCCACCGCATCGCGCGGGGGGGCCGGGGGGGGGCCCGGGGGGGCCGGGGGGGGGGTCCGGGGGGGCCCACCACCCCCCCCTGCGCGCACCTCGGAGTGCCGGTGCGGAGCCGCGAGCGCCGGCACTCCGAGGCCGCTTGTCTCGGGAATAAATCGAACGGGCGTCCACGCGTCGCCGTTGACGCGTTTGAACAGTGCGGCCTCATGAATGTGAAAACCGCAAGGAACGTAATAATAATAATAATAATAACGACGGCGACAGAACGGCGGCGACGACGACGGCGGCGGCCCTTCCTGGTCGCTCTCCGAGGGTCAACAACCATGGCACGGTGTGCCGTGCCGGCCTTCATAGGTGCTGGGTAACAGCACTTGCTCCTACAGTCCGTTCAGGCTACACGGGGGATGTTTTGTCTTTTGTGTATTCGTGTGTGTATATGCGTGTATGTGTGTGTGTATATGTGTGTGTATATGTGTGTGTATATGTGTGTGTATATGTGTGTGTGTATATGTGTATATGATGGCTCCCTATTGCTCAACCACGTTATGTATGCTGATGATTTGGTAATAGCTGCTCAGTCAGAGGAGGAGTTGGAGACGCTGTTGCTGAGACTGGAGCGTGCCACTAAGAGGTGGGGCCTTACCATCAGCCCCACCAAAACTAAGCACCTGCCTGGGTATTTTGTACCATCGGACACTCCACCCCCACAACTCCCAATCGGTGATGGGGCAGTTGTGGAGAGAGTGGAGAGTTTCCCATACCTGGGCAGTGTGCTTATGACTGGCTCCAGTTTAACAGCAGAGGTCTCACTCCGAATCAGTCGAGCGGCAATATCTTTTCATCGGTTGCGTAACGCTGTGTGGAAGCTACCTGGTCTGTCGCTCCGCACTAAGCTTCAGGTCTTCTCGGCCACGGTCATTCCCTCCCTTCTCTACGCTTGCGAAACGTGGACCCCCCTAATGGAACATCTTCGCCGGTTAGAAACATTTAGGCTGGCCTGCCTACGATCCATCCTGGGTTTAACCAGACTGGATTGTGTGAGGAGCTCACAAATCCTTGAAAGATCTGGGCAGGGTCCCATCGGTGAGCTCCTCCGGCAGGCAAGGCTGTGATGGCTGGGTCATGTAGCCCGCATGCCCAGCCACCGCATGCCGAAACAGCTTTTGTTTGGCCGGATTGAGGGGGCTAAGCGGGCGCGGCACGGGCTAGAGAAGAGATGGAGTGATGTGGTACAGGAGGACGTGGAGCTGAGTGGACTTGCCGATGACTGGTATCAGCGGTGTCAAGATCGGCCTCTGTGGAGGAGGCTCGTGAAGGATGCTACTGGGCAGTTGGAGGCAGTCGCCCTCCAACAACAACGGAGGGCGGAGGAGCGACGCTCAGAACAACGAGCGGAGCGCCGGGTGGCTAAAGCACAGCAGGTTGGCACAGTAGGGGGCACAGGTGGTGCATCAGCCAGTCATCTCAGTCAGTCGACCCGTGGCACCTGGGTCTGCCCCGTGACCTCCTGCCAGCGGGCGTTCGACACTTCAGGTGGCCTCAGGGTGCACATAGCCTGGCACAAGCGTCGTGGTGACGTCACCGCCACTTAGTGGCGAATGGCGGTTGTTGTTGTATATGTGTGTGTATATGTGTGTGTATATGTGTGTGTGTATGTGTGTGTGTATATGTGTGTGTGTATATGTGTGTGTGGTATTGCAACGGTTAGCTCACTGCGCGACGAACCAGGCGAGATTGATTCCCGCTCACGGCCACCAAATTTCGTGACGAATATCTGATCCGGTCATGGGCATCTCTTAGTTTGACTCAGCCTTAAAATAGTACCAGGTGCTGTGTGTAATCGTCACGCTGGCATTACTAGGTTCCTGCTAACCACACTTGCCCCAGCATTTGAAGCAGGCTACTCATGGGATCTTTGTCTTTGTGAGGGGTGTAAAACATACTTCGAACCATAACACAATGCACATCCACGTTATCTGCGGTTTACTCCGATACCCCAGGCAGTGAAGTGCATCGATTCATTTCCCTGAAAAAACGCGAATGACGTCACGGAAACTTTTAACATCCACTGTGCAGCAGATGACATTTATCTTGTGGTCAATACACCCGCAGTATTAACCAGGGCGGACTACTGAAATCAAACCGCAAACCTCTGCAACAAGCGGTGAAAACGCTCACGCTGGGCCACGTCACAACCCCATTACACACACACGCGCGCACACACGTCGACAAAGACAAACACACACCCACACGCATGACTGCCATTCGCCACAAAGTCGCGATGACGTCACCACGGTGCTTGTGCCAGGGTAGGTGCACTTTGAGGCCACACCCCCGCACACAAACAAACACAGACACACACACACAAACCGACAATGCCCAAACACACGCACACACAAAGACAAATAAAAAGATCCACATGTAGCCTTAACCGACTGCAGGAGCAAGTGCTGTTAGCGAGCACCTATCAAGGCCGGCACTGTGGCACACGAGGGGGTGGGTGACCAGCACCACACCCGACCACCTCCGTCTCCCCAGTGGCGATGTTTACACACCGCACCGGGCACCTGTTTGAGTCCGAGTCGACCTAGGGGAGGCCCAGGTCCGGTTCAGGTTCAGATAATCATCACTGGTGTTGGCCGTGAGCGGGAACCGAACTCGGGGTCACTGGGTTCGTAGCGCAGCGTCTTAACCGTTGCACTACCGCTCCCCACACACACGCACGCACGCACGCACAATCCGTGTTGGCCGACCGACCGACCGCAATGCCCCACCCGGCCCTACATGGAGCACGCGCGACCGTCTCGCTGCCGCCGTACCTTTGCGCCGCCGCTGCGCCGCGGTTTACTCTGCTCGTCATCCGAAGAGAACGAGCGAATCTTGCGCTTGCGCTTGGCCCGCTCCAGCACCAGCAGCGTCGGCAGCTGCGGCGCTGGCCGCGACGCCGCGCCGCTCCGGGGCGGCTTGCGCGTCGCTCCGGCTCCTCGCGCCGCCGCCAGCGAGGGGGAGGAGGAGGAGAGGACGCCGGCGGTCGCCGCGGCCGTGGCGACCGCGGACGCCGGCTCCTCGCCCGCCCACGACGACGACGCGGCGCTGCTGCTGCTGCCGGACTCCTCCTCATCCTCCTCCTCTTCATCCACCTCGTCGCACTCCTCGCCCTCCAGCCCGTGCGTCCCGTTCTGGTGGTAAGCGCACAGCGGAATTCGAGGATACAATACAACATGACACTACGTAACACGAGAATACGTAACACGACACTATATAAAGCTGTCCCACGAGATACTGCAGTGACAGTGGATAATACATTTCATGGCCCAGGTGTAGCGCGGTCACCTCTTGATGCAGAGGTTGGTAGTGCAAATCCGGAAAAGATTCCCTGGCATTACTTTGAGAAGATGGGGCCAAAAAGTTATTTAATTAGGAAATATAACAACATCGCCCCCTACTGCAAACACTTGGCAGTTACCGCCTCAAAAAGGTTCTTGAGACTCGGTGAGGCTTTCCTGGGTAAACAAGCGCAGTGATAGGAATAATTTATACTATACACAGCAATTAGATTGCTCTGAACTATGCATTTAAACAAGTCGATTCGTATCTGCTGTGTGAGACGGGCTGTGTGTGACAGGGCCATGTGAGACGGGGCTGTGTGAGACAGGGCCGTGTGAGACGGGGCTCTGTGAGACGGGGGCCGTGTGAGACGGGGGCCGTGTGAGACGGGGCTGTGTGAGACAGGGCCGTGTGAGACGGGGCTGTATGAGACAGGGCTGTATGAGACAGGGCTGTGTGAGACGGGGCTGTGTGAGACAGGGCCGTGTGAGACGGGGCTGTGCCTCTTCTCACGCGTCCGCTCATCGTGGACGAGCCGGATAAATTAGGCCTCGTGCGTTCACTCCAGTGGAGGCCCTTCTGCCGCAGGGGCACGAGCGAGCATTTGCGAAGAGCCGCGCCTTGACCTTTCACCCATATGCGGATAACAGGGAAGCGCCAATAATTGGCGGATAAGCGGAGCGCGCGCAGGGTCACGGCGCAGCGGCCACTTACCTGCGGGGAGCCGGCGCAGGAGCTGTCCACGCTGGAGGCGGTGCCCGTCCTCTTGAGGCCGTTCCGTGGCGCCAGCTTCGGGCCCCGGTCGTTGCCGTCGCTCGCCAACCTCGGCACGACGCGCCGACACCGCCTCCTGCCGTGGTGGTACGCTGCGGGACGCAGGCGACGCCGCCACCGTGAGCCACCGCGCAATCGGCGGGACTACGGTGGACGGGTTGGACGACCGACGCGGAGACGGAACGGTGAAGTCGGGTGGCTTTGCATCGCACCGCTCGGTAGGGATTGTATGCGTGCATGCATGTTGAACTTCGTTCGCACCGTACATAGCCGTGCTAATCGGAGGTGCAGATTCAGCCAGCAGTGGACCGATCATGTTCAACGATGAGTGTCTTTATATCACGCGACTCCACGTCAGAATTCTACGTAATACGTTCCCCGATTATGCAATCAGCCACATCACGTGCACCATCTTGTGTACGGACGTGCAGACAGGATGTCGCCACTTCCGAATTGGCTTCAATTGGCCTCTGTGCCCACGTGGAGGGCACAGTGTGGCCACGTGGTGGGCACAGTGTGGCCACGTGGGAGGCAGTGTGGCCACGTGGGGGGCACAGTGTCCCCACGTGGAAGGCACAGTGTGGCCACGTGGGGGGCACAGTGTGGCCACGTGGGGGGCACAGTGTGGCCACGTGGAGAGCATAGTGTGGCCACGTGGGGGGCACAGTGTCCCCACGTGGAGGGCACAGTGTGGCCACGTGGAGGGCACAGTGTGGCCACGTGGGGGGCACAGTGTGGCCACGTGGAGACCATAGTGTGCCCCGCATGGACGTCAACCAGAACTGCTTCATTCTCGGCGCCGAAAAATGCAAATGGGCCGACTGCGTTACCCGGCTCCACCCTGAGAACCTGATTTCATTACGGGTGGCTGCAACGTGGATTCGAAAACAGGGACCTCGCAGGTGTCTGATCTGACAGGGCCGTTAAGAATCCACGAGGCCGCGTGGGGAGCGGTAGTGTAGCGGTAGCGCGCTGCACTACGAACTCGGCAACGACCCGAGTTCGATCTCTGCTCATGACCGAGAACCCATGAGGCACCCCCCCCGGCACCACTTGGACATTATCAGTGGCATGACATCGTCTATAAGAGGTTTTTTTGGGCTAGGTCGCGTAAATATATAAAAATGTCGTTAAAACCCGCCACCACCCGACACAGCCAACTAGTAAGGGTTGCTACGTAACATGCCAATTCGTCACTAGTACAGCACACCGGTGTGTTGGAAAGCCAAGCCACAATATTTACAATCCGAGTACGACGTTTCGCCAGTAATTACAACCAGCTTCATCAGGCGACAGCCAGATTTGTGGAGAAGTCCACCTGTTTCGTTCCTTATATAGAGGTGTAGATGTGGTGACCACGCTTCTGCACCCTTGCGCAAAGTGGGGGGGAGGATTAATGTCGTACTCAAGATTGTAAATGTTGTGGCTTGACATCGTCTGCTTCCCAATCCTCCCACCTCGACCACTTACGGCCCGGTGACGGACTCAGGGACGCTGCTCCTCCGTTGCGTGGGAATTCAGGTGAGGTAGAGGCACAATGGGTTAAAGTCTTGACCAAAGGAAAATCTATTATTTTAGAACTAAATTTCTCTGGCTACCCTCCATTTCCTCCCGTATGCGGATTGTCATCCTTATCATCAGCCATAATCAATACGCTGCTAGATAAAGGCCTTCCTAGGCCGTTGCCACGTCTCACGATCCTGCGGTGTAAACAATCCATCCAGCACGTGCACACCAACTGACTCCGTCTCCACACTGGATGTACTCTCTGGATGCCGTGTTCCCTCCCCTGGCTGTCAGCCACTCCGTAGTTATTTTTGACCATTGGCCATCGCTCCTGCTGGCCGCGACGCGTCCTGCTGCCAACGTGTGCCGCAGTGGCTGGGAGATGCTAACTACATCGCCTGGTATGCAGGAGTTTGTTGGTTCAATCCCGACCGTGACAGCCTGCTGTATTTTTCGATTTAAAGCTTTCGTGACTGCAATGATTCATCTTCTTTGGTTCTTTCGGTAAAGTCACGTAGAATGATGAAGGCTGCTTGTGTTGTGGCCGAAACGTCGTAAGAATATTATTGTGTTCTTTTATTTTATCAATTTATTATTTTATTCTCATTCTACGTGACTTTACCGAAAGAACCAAAGAAGCCTGCTGTATATTTGGAGTTTACACGTCTCTCCCGGCAGTCGCATGGAATGGACATTACACGTTTAGAGTATTTGGCTGCTATAAATTTCCACATAATGATAAGCCACTTCATTGAGCTATCATTACTGATAGGTCACTTCTGCATAAGCGCTAGACAGGTAAGTGGGCCTTACCTGGTAAAAAAAAAGAATAGTCAGTGTTTGGACAATGTCATGAACTTGCGTGCAGTCTCTAATCCACGTGCTCCTCTTCCTCCTGTCTCTCAGTGTATCCCCCCCCAACGCCCCCCCCCCCCGGGGGAAGGAGCTGTCCATCGTGAACCCGGGACTCAACTGTACTTGGTCTTGGTGCGGGTGTGACAGCTCTCGGGGCAGCTGCTGGTGGTGGAGGCCGGGCCGAACAGCAGGGGGCAGCACTGCAGGCGGACGCAGGTGCTGCGACAGAAGTCTGCCACCTGCTCCGCCATGCGCACCAGCTCCACCTTGGCGCGGTAACGCTTCCCGCTGTACCTGGGCACATGCACGTGGTGGAGGGGGGCGAGGCGGGGGGGGGGGGGAAGGGCGGGTTAACGTCACAGCCTTGCGCAGACCACCGAAAAGAACTGCACGTGTGGCCCCCCGAGCTCCGACCGAGTGACTGCGCTCTCTCGTGCCCGCTGATGCCGGCTGTAACCTCCGCCGAGACGCCAAACGTATTTGTCGAATTCTGCTTGCGCCCACGCGTGGCCGCTTTTGCCGAAAAACACCACAATCCCTTGGTCTGTTTGGCCACCACGCGACAACTTTCATTGTTTGGCTGTGTCGGGTGGTGGAGGGCACGCGGTTCTTACTGGAAATCACACCCACGCGACCTGACACAAAACTAAACTAGTCACACGATTGAAGAGGAGCGAATGGATAATCGATGTTTATTTGTTACGTGGAAAATCCCGTGTAGCCAATTTGCCAAAGCTCGTGAGGGAGATCCGTGGTGTTATCAGCACAAGGCGAGGACTACAACGTCAGAGCGATCCGTACAGAGGAACAGGCAGCAACAGAACAGAGTGCGTCGGAGATGCGGGCAAAAATGGTGCTTAGAGAACAAAACACATTAACCCTTTCCCGTTCCGATGACGTATGTATACATCATCAATTTTTCTTCTGATTTCAAAAGAAAATGTTTAAACTGTATTGGTACCGAGGCTTCTACAAGGCCATGTGTCACTACGGTTCTCTGCGGTGAGTACCGCGTCTTTGAAAACAACGGTGCTGCTACGCCTCTCTAAATAAAATGAACGCCGAGCCAAGATTCAGCGGTGAATCACCCTGCAACTTGCAGTCGTCTCGGAAGACAACATTAACCGAGTGGCTATGTGAATGAGCGACTTTGCAAGCGAGATAATGAGCGAACTCGGCAACGAATGGACAAACGAGGGAGGGGGGGGGACGGTACTTGGCTTTAATCGTCTCCTCTTGACCTCCCCACTGCGGCTGCCCCTTTAGCTGTAGCTCGTGGAGGACGCGGCTGGGCTTGTACGCGGAGTTGATGAGCAGCGACAGGACCTGTGCACGTCGCCACACCGAGACCGCGACACAAACGGCGTCATCGCGGTCATCGTCATGGTGGTTGTCGTCGTGGTTGTCGTCGTGGTCGTCATCGTGGTCATCGTCATCATTGTGGTCGTCATCGTGGTCGTCATCGTGGCCGTGGTCATCGTCGTGGTGGTCACCGCGGTCGTGGTGGTGGTCATGCTCTCATGCGAGACGAGGCCGGGCCTAACCTCCCGCAGGACGAGGACGCAGCTGCCCGGCCCCACCGACTGGGGGAGCTCGGCGATGCGGCCCTTGTTGAGGAACGGCCCCGAGAAGCAGCGGTGGTTTATGAAGATCTTGGGGCAGCAGTACTTGCCACTGCCGGGTCCTGGGGGCACGCCGATCGCACAATCGCAAGGGCATCGCCGCGTCGGCACGCGCGGACCGCATTTGCCCACCGTGCTGCCGGCCGCACCACGCCTCCAGCTTCCGCCACGCAGCCACCGGGGAGCCGGTTTCTTAATTCGATCCAAAATAAATTTCCCGATTAACCATCCAGATTATTTGTACAGAGCAGTGCTTCCATGCCCACCGTGCCGATGATTCCACAAGCCACGGCCGATTCTACCTCACCTATGGTGTCCCTCACTTCTGCTGGGTTGCAAGGTGGCCACGAGAAGGGAGGAGCGACGCATTATTGAATGAATCTGTGCGGAGCTATGAGAGCACGGTCTCCTTGTCTGAACGGTGGGTGTATTTTGGGTACCCTGGTGTCTCGCGTGGTATGCAGGAGGCTGTGGGTTCGATCCTGATCCTGCCGCCTGTATATATGGGGTTTTCGTGTCTCTCTCCCTCCGGGGTCGCGTGGATTTTTCTCCGGGTAGTCCGTTTTTTTCCACCACATTTAGAATCAAAGTGCGTTTAGAGTATTTGGCGGCTATAAATATCCACGTGATAAGCCACTTAATTGGGCTATCATTTGTGGCCAGGTCGCTTATCGCTTATGAAAAAGAACAATACAGCTCAGTGGGTGTTAGCTGATAAAATAAAACATAGCTTTTAAATAGTCTCCCCTTTCTAGAGCCGATGTACCACCCATTAACAACAGACTTGACCGGAGCGTTCGTGAAGCCGCCCTGGGTGGATTAGCAGATCTCTCCTTCCGCCACCGTTTACCCGTGTCGCTTGGCTGCAGCGACAGCTCCCTCCGCGCCCGCGTCTCCCCCGCGGCAAATGGCACCGGCACTCTGCACACCGCAGAGATCGGGCACACGTGGCGGGACACGCCGTCGATGGCCGCCGGTGACCGTTCAGGCACGGTGACGTTCGGGGCATCGTCCCCTTACACCGCGTTCGCACTGCGCAGACACAGGTCAGGAAGCGTCACAGCGACGCCGCGGACAGCGGCGAGTCTCTATTAAGAGCCAAGCGGGCGCGTTTCTAAGAGGCGCGCTCACGGTCCAATGAATGAGGCCCCCTTCGGCAAAGCTCGGCTATTCGCACGTCAGCCCCTGCGTTGGCAACACCCCGCGCCTCCTCGCGTTACATCGCCGTACGGTTGGTGGGGGGGGCGGGGGGTTAGTGTTTTGCGTAGAGGTATAATCTTTTACGAAACGCGTAGAAAAAAGATCAGCAGCACGGTGCACGAACCCGTGTGTGTTAAATGTACGGCTTTGAATGTGGCGTTTTTGAAGTAAGACTAGACGAGATAAGAATGCGGATTGGTAGGAATGAGTTTAGCTGGATTTGATGGTCATTGTATAAATGCACGAGTTATGTGGGTCATGGATTTTAAAGGTTCGTGTACGTGCAAGCGCGTGTGCGAGTGTGCGTGCGCGTTAACAATATGAAGCATAAATTTTGATTTAAAGCTTTCGTGACTGCAGGGATTCATATTCTTGGTTCTTTCGGTAAAGTCACATAGAAGGGAAACAGTAAAATAATAAAAAATATAAAACAATAAAATTCTCACGACGTTTCGACTGCAACACAAGCAATCATCATCAGGTGTGAAAACCACAGCAAGAATTTTTTTTAAAAGTGGCGGTTACTTTTAAAGTTAGCACCACGGAAAGCGATTTGGCAGTTATTCAGATGGACGAGTCCATCTATATTCGGAAAAGAGGGGGGAGATGAAAATAATGGATGTAGTCTGAAAGCCACCGTAAGCGTGAACAATCAATTATGACCCGAAATGGTTTATCAAATCCTTCCAATGATTGCCAAGCCAGAATCCATCTTCTGGGTTGAAATTGTCTCTGTGTTTGTATATGTGGATAGCCTCATGAACGAATCTCTCATGGTAGCCAGATGGCTTGTAAAGAACCTGTCTTGGAGAAGTCAATGTCACGTGAGCCACTTTAGCACCATGGTGCTAACGTTCAAATTTTCTTGCTGTGGTTTTCACACCTGATGATGTTTGCTTGTGTTGCAGTCTAAACGTCGTGAGAATTTTATTGTTTTATATTTTTAATTATTTTATTGTTTCCCTTCTACTTGACTTTACCGAATGAACCAAGAATATAATACGAAGCATCCCTACGAGCCACATCGGCAGCACGGCCTTCTGGGATCGCACGGGTATTTTGAACAGCATTGATGGCAACAAGCAAACTCTGGCCCGGTTTCAACATTCAGTGTCTCATCAGCAGAGTCAGGCTCGCTCGAGCCAATGCCAGTTGAGCAAGACCGGAGAAGCCACCTCCAAACAGAGCGGCTGACCGACGACCATCGCCACGCTCGGCACTCTGTGAATCCACTACCACGCCGACCGACCGAGCGAGACGGTCGTCATCAACGGCCGCCGGACACGGCAGCGAGCACGTCACGGGCCCGATGATGATGGCGAGATTCCGAGGGTCAAAACCCGTACGAGGGTTTGCACGAAGACCCGCAAAGCTGTTGCAGTGAACTTCATCTATATTTCGTATGCAGAGGGACGGACTGGCGTGCCCTCTGCGACCGCGCGCTCGCTCTCTTACTGTTGCTTCGGCTGCACAACGGCGATCTTCCTCCGGGCGCCGCCGACAGCTGCAAGACAGAAGAAAGCCCACGCCCGTCACCCTCCCCGCGGCGCGAGCAATTTCCTCCACCCCCTCGAGCCCAGTGGCTCGGCCCGCTCGGTTGCTTCCATGGTCTCGTGAGCAGTGGCGGCTCAAGTTAAACGCCTGGCTTGAGACGGCTCTCACTCGAGCCGGAGCCGGGCCGTGAGGATACAGGCCGTGCTCGCCGAACGCAACCGGTTTGCGCTCCTCTCCGCTCGTTTCACGCCACGACCACCGCTGCCACGTGAAGGGGATGCGCAGCGACCAGCGGTAAAAGTTTCCGGCTAGAAGCAACCCGGCTGAGTACGCATCACCCCCGCATCTCCCCCGCACGTCTCTCCCGTGTTCCCCCCGCACCTCCCTCGCATCACCCCGTGTCTCCCGTGCGAGTCCCCCCGTGCGTCCCCGGTGCTCACGTGGGGAGCGACGGGGCGCCCGCAGCGGGTAACCGTTGGACTCGCTCCACCCGACGGGGAAGATGTCCATGGAGCGCACGTCCACTATGCAGTCGGGCTGCGGCTGCTGCAGGCCTGCACACACGCGCGTGGCACGAAACGGACCGGCAAGCTGCAAGCCAAAGCACAGAGAGAGCCTCTCTCCGCTCCCTACTGGAGGAGTCGACCGCGCAAGGGAACGTGGGCACGGAGAAGCCCTGCGCGGATTTCTTCCTCTCGTTACCACTGCGTTCTGTACCCGGGAGAGCCTCGCGAAAGCTTGGCAGTCTTACCAAGCTCTGGCAATAAGAGGGGCGATGTAGCTGCTGCTGCTGTCTGATTCCAAGTGAGTAATGTCCCAGAAAATTGTCTGCAGCGGGGATGTTTGGCCAATTCCAGTTAAATGCAGGCAGACTTCGCATAGCACGACCCCGTAGAACACGGATTTGTTACAGCACTCTTTGCCCCGGACAATTTTTTTAATCAAAGGAAAACAAAATTTGTGCTTACGAGAATCATACCTGCCCCCATCATTCAATCAGCCAATGAGAGCGACCCACGCTCTCAGCCAATCAGACCCCACACTCACGATTCGATTATCACGATAAACATTTTTTTAAAATCTATTTAGCCAGGTGAGAACTCAAGAGACCAAGATCAAGTCTCAGGCTACGCCTAAAAGAAACCTCAGCATAAACATGTAGACCGGGGGCATCGCAAAGACGACGGAGGGCCAGCAGCCCTTATCTGAGAGCGACCCCGGACTGGGAGAGAATCAGCAGCTCCTCCAACCTCCTCTCCCACCGCTGCCATGTCGGAGTACGGTAGGATGCTTTCACGAGTACAGTACGTAATGCTTATTTGATGGTGTTATAAGAATGTATTATTTTTAGCTATGAACTAACGATTACCATCTGTATTATTATTGACGCTATTAACGATAACCCAAAGAAGCCCTAATATATATTGCTCATACGTAACAATTAACGCTGTGGGGAACGCATTCCCATACACAACAAGGAAATAACGACCCCTTTTAGTGCTGATTCGGCGAGTGCTCACTTCTCCAGGAACGCATCTCGAGCGATAAAGCGAGATCTGCCTCTACGTTGGTGGGGGGGGGGGGGGTTAATTACGAGGAGGAAACCGGAGAACCCTGAAGAAAAACACCCAGAACAAGGGGGGAGAGAGAGAACGTACAAGCTCCATGCAGAAAGGCGAGTCGGGAATCGAACCCGAGGCTCTGCCGCCCAAAAATAAAAAAAAATACCACCACCACCACCACCACCCCCACCACCACCTTACCTTCCAGACGCAGCCACATGAGGTGGTGGCGGAGGTGCGTGACGGTGGCCACGCACAGCTCGCTGGGAAGCAGCGGGTTCACCACCTCCAAGCGCATCCCCTGGATGAACCCGTGCTGCGGCTCGTCCTGCGGCACACGCATGCACGCACGCACGTTAACCATCGCCATCGCGAGCACATTTGGTACCGTCGGCTGTCGTTGTAACGTGCGCGGGGACAATCCCAGGAAGGGAGAGTGTGTAATGGCAGTCGAGTCCAGTCCGTTCTCCTGTAACGCGTGTTGCTTTCATAACGCGTGCTGGATATAACGCGAGGAATGCATTCGGGAACATTTTTGTATTACGCGGATGCGAATATGGGTTAACGCGATCGAGTGAATAAGCGGTAGTGCGGCTGCCTCGGCATAGCATCACAGGTGGGATGCTGCTGGATGCTTATAGATGCTACCCACGCACCTCAGTCTTTGTTCATCCTGCGTACGAATCTCACGTATTTTTCTCCTAACGTGGTGTCCTTCAGAAGCATAACTACTACCGCCACATTACAGCAGAATAGACTGTATAATAGGCGATGTTTCAGGCAATGGCCCTTCTTCACAGCACAAGTACTCACAGTCGTTCTCCGACACATGAAGAAGGGTTATTGCCCGGAACGTCGGGTGTTAAATGGGCCCGTTTATTGCGTTATAGGAGAACAGACTGTAATTTGCGGGGTCATTTTTCAAATTTGACAAATGTTGTCCATGACGCCTCCTCTCTTCGAATGACATCACAGGATCCTTAATGTCCACCGTGAAACGGACGGGCGCATACATTTACCGTTCGCACCCCCGCAGCATTAACGAGGGCGGCCGCCGGATTCGAACCGCGAACCTCCAACAAACGAGCGGAGAAAAGCGCTGCTCACCACTGGGCGACCACCGCCTCCCGGTGCGGCGTGGACAGGGGGCGGCGTCTCCGCCGGGGGAGGCCTGGAGGTCGCGGCAACCGTTGCCAGCAACGCATTCACCGCGAGCGACCGTGGCAACTCGGCGGGCAATCGACCAACCACACGCACGAACACAAGGAAATAACATAGGCCTTGTCTTTAGGCAAATGTGATCTACTTGCTGCACTGCCACCTCTTGGGCACTTTGCAGCCCAGCGGAGCGGCGCTGCCTCTGCCGCGACTTCCCACACACGTGACGGCGCACGGGAGGTGAAGCGTACCATCGGGAAACAGGAGCCAGGCGCCGCCTCCGCTCCCGAGCTCTTCAAGTACTCGGCCCAGTCGAAATCCTGTCCCTCGTAGCCTGCCGCTCGCACACCACGCACACCACGCACACAAATACACACCACGCACACAAATACACACCATGCACACCGTGCACACCACGCACACCGGCGCTCGTGAGCACGCACGCCGCGGCGGGATGCCTCCGTGTAGCCTCTTGCAGACTGTCGGGCCGAATTCCATTAGCGAGCAGCACCTGCGAAGGCGAGAATGGCACACAAGGGGGTGGGGTGTGGCCAGTGCCAAGTCCAGCCACTTTCGTCTCCCCAGGGCTGATGTTTTATACACAATGCACCAGGTACTCATTTCAGGCTGAGTCGACCCAGCAGAGGCCCGTGACTAAGACACATACACGCACTTACAAACACACTGACAAACACACACAACAAATATAACAAAAATGCCTGTATAGCCTTAACAGATTGTTGGGACAAGTGCTGTTAGCAAGCACCTATGAAGGCTTGCACAGCACACGAGGGGGTGGGTGGCCAGCACCACGCCCGGCCGCCTTTGTCTCCCCAGTGGCGATGTTTACACATCACACTAGGTACTCCGTTAAGGCTGAGTCGACATAGGGCATTCACAAACACAACACAGACATAACGAGTGCAGACACATACACAACAGCCGCCAATCGCCACTACGTAATGGTGACGTTGAGGGCACTTAAAGAGACGGCGAGACAAATCCCTATTCTCTGCAAGTTTGGACAATGTTCTGCCAACATTTACATAAAAGCGGTTCCCGCACACACACACACGGATGTGGCGCACACGCAGATGCAGCACACACAAACGGATGCGGCACACACAAATGTGGTACACACAAACACACACGGACGTGGTACACACAAACACACACGGACGTGGCACACACAAACACACACGGACGTGGCACACACAAGCACACACGGAGGTGGCACACACAAACACACACGGAGGTGGCACACACAAACACACACGGAGGTGGCACACACAAACACACACGGAGGTGGCACACACAAACACACACGGAGGTGGCACACACAAACACACACGGACGTGGTACACACAAACACACACGGAGGTGGCACACACAAACACACACGGACGTGGTACACACAAACACACACGGAGGTGGCACACACAAATGTGGTACACACAAACACACACGGACGTGGTACATACAAACACACACGGAGGTGGCACACACGGTCGTGGTACACACAAACACACACGGACGTGGTACATACAAACACACACGGACGTGGCACACACAAACACACACGGACGTGGCACACACAAACACACACGGAGGTGGCACACACAAACACACACGGACGTGGTACACACAAACACACACGGAGGTGGTACACACGCACACCCTGTGTTCCAGCACGATGCCGGCCGAGGCCTGGGGATCCTGCAGGTTTGTGGGCGCTCACAGAGGTGCCCACGGGATGGCAGGATAGCAATGGGGGTGCAGGGAACCCATCGGCCTTCTCCCACAATAGATGTGGCACACACACCTCCAATGAGCACGGTTGGCTCAGTATGGCGCGAAAGAGGTTCAATATACATACGCACAATGCATTCAATGCACCCATTCGTGCAACCGGCCAAAATTCTCTCAACGGGTCCTGAAAGATAGTCTTGGGACTCGGCGATTCTCGTCTTACGACGGACACAACTACCGATGCAGGCAAACGGCGTAAACACTGCCAGGACAAACCTACGTCATCGTTTCGCCCGTGGCACTGCCACAACGGCGGTTTGGTTCTCGGGGCCACAATCGCCGTACCGGGGGGCGGTGTGCAGGGCACCCCGTTCTTGAGGCTCCACTGCGCCGGCAGAGCGGTGGGGCCGTCGAGGGAACACACGAGGGGGGCAAGTGGCGCCACCTCCCCACCCGCCGCGTCCATCTCCACCACGAAAAACCACTCGCTTAGCACCTGACACAAGCACAAAGACAAAGAACCCCACCCCCCCCGGATAGCCTTAACAGACTGCTGGGGCAAGTACTGTTAGCGAGCGGTACCTGTGAAGGCCTGCACGGCACACGAGGGGGTGGGGCCTGGCCAGCACCACGTCCGACACACACTGTGACGCGCACGCACACACACACTGTAATGCACACACATGCACACACAAGACAACAATCCCCCGTTATAGCCTTAACAGACTGCTGGGGCAAGTACCGTTAGCGAGAACCTATGAAAGCCGGCATGGCACACTAAGAGGTGGGGGGCCAGCACCAGGCCCGACCGCCTTTGTCTCCCTAGTAGTGATGTTTACACATCGCACCAGGTGCTCATTTGAGGGTGAGTCGACCTAGGGGAGGCTCAGGACCGGTTCAGATGATCGTCACTGGTCTTGGCCATGAGAGGGAATTGAACGCCAGTCACCGGGTTAGTAGGCACAGTGCACAAACCACTGTGCAACCGCTCCCCACAGGCAAAAGCACGCACGCACGCAAACACACACACACGCACACACGCGCTTGCAGGAAGTCCATCTTGCGGTGCACTGGTCTTCGCCATGGTAACGTCAAATGAGAACTAGTCCCGAGGTGTTAGCAGCACCAAGACGAGAGGGCCTGCCACAGGCTTGAGCTAGTCTGGGCGGTGGTGGTCTTCCTCAGATTGCTCAGGATTCAGCGGAAATGCCTAAGGCTCAAAGAACAAAACGAATGCCACATTCACGCTGGCAAGTAAGAATGGAGGGCCAGGTTCCACTGTGCAGCCCAGGCATTCACCAATGACAGACAGGAGATGTTTAATGATTACATAAATACTGGATTAGGAAGACTCAAATTTATTATATAAATCAGATTTTTATATTTTCTCTTTGTTTCTCTGCCAAGTCTTATATATTTATTGTATTCTATAAACTAAACCATGTTTATTTTACCAGGTAAGGCCCACTGAGCTAGATAGCTCATATTTGTAAACACACGTTTACAAATTCTGTAAACGTGTTTCAAAATGTGGAGAGAAAAACCGGACGAGCTGGAGAAAACTCCACGCGACCATTCAAAGGCCGAGCCGGGCCCTTTCTTTGCCTGGTTAGAGTGAGCTTGCCGGGCTGCATGTCCAGGAATAAGAATATCCATGAATGTCATAAATCAGGCCTCCATAGCCTCGAATCCAGTGGCTTCTCCAACCTGTGGTCTGCGCACCTCTGGTACTCCGCAAGGCAGGGGAAGTGGAATGGCTGCAGCCACGATGATTTTCAAACCAGACCTGATCGCTTACTGCACGTGAGCATGACGTCAGTTCCGTGACGTCCTGTCAGTGAGCGAGCTTACGACAATGCACGTGGCCTCAGGGTACACCTAGCCTGGCACAAGCGCATGTTTCTAAATGTGGAGGGCAAAAACCGGAGGACCCGGAGGAAAGTCCACGCGACCACCACGGGGAGAGAGAACACGCAAACCCACGACCTCCCGCGTACCCAGGCGAAGGGAGACAGAGGCAAAGAAGGGGCAGGAGCCAGCAGCCGTTCTCGCTGTGCGTTGGCGAACGCACCTTGGTGACTGTGGCCGGGGCGATGCTGAAGGGCAGCGTTGGGTGCACGGCCTCCAGCTTCATGCCCTGGCTGAAGCGATGGCTTCGTGACTCCGCCACCTCCTGGAGACAAAACGGACGATCCAGTTGCACGTCGAGTGCCCGGGGCGGTGACGCGGGGGCCCAGCGGCCGGCAAGCGCATTGCATGCTCGATTATTGCAATTCACTCCTCTACGGGATGTCTAGCAGAAAACAATAGCAAGCTGCAGCCTGTACAAAATTCTTCGGCACGTTTTGTGATGGGTACTGGAAGATCGGACCATGTCTATCCAGTGCTTGCTGAGCTGCATTGACTTCCGGTTGCTGAACGAATAGTGTTATAAGGTCGCACTCATTCCACAAAAAGCACTTGCCACAAATGAACCACAATACCTCGCTGATCTCGTTAAGGAGCATAAACCATCATCACGCGAATTCCTCCGATCATCCTCGCAGCAGCTTTAGGCTAACCATCAAACAAAGATGGTCACTGCATTGCGCGCTGTCTGGAATTCTCTTTCTTCCAAAATTAGAAACCCACTGAAGCTATGCACTTTAAATCTGGACTGACAACTCATTTCTTTAAAACTGCCCTTTGTGTTTAATTTCTTGTCCTTCCCTCGGACCTCCAACTAACAAGGTTGGCTACGTACGGTGCGAAAGAGGTTAAAAATAATACAATAGTGCGCTGCATATAAACCAAAGCACGCCAAGTGCCGTCTGCTAAAGGATGTAACAAGAGAGATCCCGTGGCATTATCCAAAGAAGAGACGCCGCGTCTCCGCTCGAGCAAGTAGAGCGGCGACGTCCGCATGCCCCGCACCTTGAAGATCTCCGGGGGTACTGCTTCCCGCGCGTCCGGGCCGTAAGCCTCCTGACGCGCCGCCTCCCACTGCTCCGCCGTGCGGAGAGAAGCGACGGCTGTGGGGGATAAAGAGAGGAGGGCGGCCACGGCGGCCAAGGAGTCAGCGAGCGACGCGGCGCGAGACCGCCGAGACCACCACGAGGACCACCACAAAGCTCACCGTCACCGCGGCCTCCACCATCATCATCAACCCCGCCATGACGATACCATCACCGTGGAAAGAGCCTCGTTCTTTCACTCATTGTTACGATTCTGCTTGTTTACCCAGGAAAGCCTCCCTGGGTGTCAACTCTTTTTAAGAAGACTCCTGCCAAGTTTCTGCAGTTGGAGGCGATGCTACTGCTGTGTGTATGATCCCAATTGAGTAGTTTTTTCAGCATTGGGATGTCAATGGGATGTCATTGACAAGTTATAACACCAATTACAGAAAATGTAATTAGAATTTGGCCAATACCAATGACAATGTATGTGTGTGGCTTTTTCTATGTGAGGAGGGAAACCGGAGAACCCGGAGGAAACTCATGCCGAACGGGGGGGGGGGGGGGGGGGGGAGAGAGAACATACAAACTCCACACCACACGGTGCCTGGGTCAGTACCGGAAACCCAAGCAGCGCTTGTCGACGCGGGGCGCGAACGTCACCACCGCACTGCCATCCTAAAAACGCCGAACACGAAACCAAAGCACACGAGGGGTGGGGGCGGGTGGGTGAGCAGACGAGGCGGCGACGGCTTGCCACGCACCGGCCGGGGGCTCCACGGCGCAGCGGTTCCCGCGGGCCCAGCCCAGCGGGTGGAGGCGCGGGTGGAGGTAGAAGAGCCACGCGTCGAGCGCCGCCTCCTCGGGGCCCAGCCCGCATGGCCGCAGCCGAAGGCGGCCGCCCACGTTGCGCACCACGGCCGCCGGCCACGCCCGCAACTCGCGCCCCGTGGCCTCCCGCACCTCCAGCCGCTCGCCCGGCACGATCAGCTCCACCGGCGGACGCCCGCGGTTGGGCTGGGGGCGAGAGACGCCCCGGTAAGAGAAGGCGTGTACCCCGTGGGTCCGACCGCTCCCGTCTCGGAGAGACAACCCGGATAACGTAACGACGAGCAGAGGCAATGGTGCTCATCTCCTGTTTACAGACCGGAGCCAGCGGTGGAAAGTCCACATTCTATGACGTTGGGGGTTTTTTCTACATAGGAGACCGCTGTTGACCTCTCCACGAAGTGCTACTCATTTTTATTGACCTCACAGGGATGATGGGCTCAGTTCAGGATTTTAACTTGTGTCACTCTACCATTGAGACCGAGGCTACTTAAACCAATGCTGGTAGACTGTTCGCATGGAACAAGGACCAATAGTTAACAGAAAGGGGTCCCTAACCCTAATCAACCCTGACTCTGTTGACGAGACACTCAATGTTGAAACCGGGCAAGAGTTTGCGTTTATTAAACCAATGCTGCTGAAAATTAAATTCACTCCCAGAAGGCGGCGTGGACCAGGGGATGTGTAAACCAAGTCTCGTGCTTGTCGTGCGGAGAGACGAATGTGGACAGAAGGCGCCCGCCCTCGAAGGCGGACGGCGCCATGCGCGTGGCGGGGGGGCAGCGGCTCACCCCTTCCAGGAGGCTGGGCGGAGCGGTGCGGGCGTCCACGAGGCCCTCGGCGAGCAGCGCCTCCCAGCGAGGGTGCTTCTCTCTGATCGCTGCAGGGAACGGACGAGATCGAGATCTGGGTGCCATCGCGGACAAAGCCTTCAATGCCCCACCGCTCCCCTCTACCACCAGGCCCCACACCTGCAGTGGACACGCAGCACGACCTGCGAAATAGATCTGCCCCGACCGTCTCCCACCACCCGGCCTTAGGCCTTCTCTTCCCTTTGGTCGCCAGACTCTTGGAGACTACTCCGATGCCGGTCTGGGCTATCGGCCGAGTCTCCCGTCGAGCTGCTTCGTCAGAGTCTAGCTCTGATCCACACAGCATTCCAGAGAATACTTTTACCTCAAATATACTGTTCTCTACAGGCAGGCTTAGCAGTTGGCCTGAAGGTGACAGTACAACAAGTTTCGTTTGTCAACCTATACTTGTGCTTGTCCTCTCACAAGCATGGGTTTTCTCCACGTATGCTGATCCCAGGCAGCTGCCTGTAATAAAAACGAATGCTCAAGTGGAATGTGCGTCAATGGTCGTGGCCAATTCAATTACCACCGCATGAAATAAACCCATCGGATACAACTTCGTTACGCAATCAATTTCACCACAATTCCAGCTCTGAGAATAAAAATATGGATTTAACTGTCACGTGACAAACATTACTCTCTTTAACACGTGGGCTTTTGTGACCAATATTAGGTTTTTTGGGTTAGATCGCGTAAAATGTTGTGGAATTACTCTCCAACACACAAGTGTGCATACGTCGTAACGAATTGACTCATTTTGTTGATGTGACAAACCTTACTAATTGGCTGTGTCGAGTGGTGGCGGGTTTACCGACACATTCATATTCACGCGATCTAACCCAAAAAATCTTTATGGAGAACATTACTCTCATATGTAGGGAGAGTGGGAAAATTCAGCCTCCTACTGTGTCGATCAGAGAACATATTCAAGGGCTCTCAGAGGTAGCTCTGTGATATCTGATTTCGTGGGCCTTTCTCCATCACAGGGTGGAGGATCCGTATGATGCCCTCTCCTGTGGCACAAGGCCCATCTTATCTAAAGAAAATAGATGTGGAACAAAGACGGTGACTGCATCGCCCACGTTCAGATGCGATTCTGTAGCCATTTGGAATGCTCTTCTGTCCGATATTTGGAAGCCACTGGAACTATGGACTTTTAAAAGTAGATTGAAACCTAATTTCTTTAGAACGGATTTTGTGTTTAGCTTGTTGTCCTTCCCCTACACCTCCGATTACCACGGTTGGCTACGTATGGTGCGAAAGAAGTTTAACATACATACAAAATTTGAATTACATTTCGGGAAATTTCCCACTGCGAGTACCGACGCAGCTAGCCACCCGGTCCACTCCCTGGCACTCCTCTCCTCCCGCTCGGCCCTCGGCCTCTCCCGTGCCACCCCCCGCACCCCCCACCGCCACGGTCGGGCGCCACCACGCAACTTACCGCACGGCGGCACCAGGCTGCGCTGGTGCCGGGCGCACCACCCCACGGGGTGCAGCTCGGCCGTCAGGATGTCGCGCCAGAAGTCGGCGCTGCGGTCGCCCCCGTGCCCGATGGGGCGCAGCAGCAGCAGCGGGCCGCAAGTCATCACCACCTCCGCTGGCCAGAACGTGGCGGGCGGCGCGCCACCGTTCGCCACCTCCAGAAGCATGCCGGCGCTGAGACTGCTCTGTAGGCTCCGCTCCACCTGTGGGGGGTGGCGGCGCGTCGTCATCATCACCGTCATCATCACCACTGCCGCCACCTGGGGTTCGTTTTGTTAGCAATAGGCGCATCACCCCCTAGTGTGCAAGCTCAGCAGGACCCTCCTGAGTCTCGAGACTTAGGGAAGGATTTTACCAGGTAAGGCCCACTGAGCTATGAAGCTATTTTTCAGAAGTGACCTAGCAATCGCAAATGATAGTTCACCAAAGTGGGTTATCAAGTGGAAATTTATCGCATCCAAATACTCTAAACGCCTGATGTTTTTTCTAAATGTGGAGGGAAAAACCGCAGGACCCAGAGAAGGCGAGGTATTCAACATCTCGGCACCTGGGCGAGCAGTTAATCGAGCGTAGTTATAAAGTAACCATGGGCTGTCAAAATTAGAGCATTTATATTTCTTGTTATGCTTAATTATTCTTACATGTTTTAATTTCTACAAAGTATTTACTAAAGTCATTTAGTATACTCTCAATAACCGAGCCAGCGCCGGCGTGTGCACGCACGTGCAAGAAGCTTGTGTGTGGCGCAGCGACGGCTCCTATCTCGTCGAGGTACTCCTCCCAGCCGAACCAAGCCTCCTCCTCCTCGCCCTCCTCACTGCAGCACACGCCTAGGAAGAGAAACAATAAGCAGCCACACAAAGGCCTAAAGTATCAACCAGCCAGCAACAAACAGCGCTATCAGACGTGCGGAATAAGGGTTAACGAGATGCTTGAATCGAACGAGGTTATTACAGTAGTCCCTCGGTTAACAGTGACATCGGTTAAAGGTTTTTTGGTTAACGTTTCGCCTCCCATAGGACCCCATGGTTTCAACTAACGTTAAAATGTTGATTAACGGTATGTTGACGTTAAATCCGAGTGCTCATTGGTGGGGCTGAGTGTGCCTCAGCTCGTCAGCGACGCCCATTTATGAGCGTTTAGACTTCGAGACTGGCTTTGTTTACAGTGTTTTCTGCTTTGCCAGTGGAAACAGCTCTCTTGCAGACTTTTACCTATTTTTCAACTTATAAGTGAATTCAATTAACAGTTATTTCCGTTAACAGTAGTTTTCGTGGAACGGATTAAAAACGTGAACCGAGGGACTACTGTATTAGAATCGCCTGGGGAAAAAAGAGAGGATGGGAGGGAATTCCGCAGTGGAGCAGTGCAAGGGAAGTATCAGAAAGACACGTCCTGTGACCTGTAGTGTGGTAAGCGAATGGGTGGGTAGGTGAGTAAGTGGATGAGTGGGTGAGTTAGTTATTGTGACCTACAGCGTGGTGGTTGAACAGTGTGGAAGAGACAAAAACAGGCTGGTGGTAGACCGAGTCTTCAACATGAGTGAAAGAATCAACAAAATAATTGAATGGAAACAGTAACCATGGTAGTAACGATAGCAGAGTGAAAAGGAGGTGACCGGCAGCTGATGATTTTGATAAAGGCAATGATGCTGAAATATACGCCTTGCCTACCTGACTCGCTGGCATGGGCCGGGGCCCACGCAGCAGTCTGAGCCTCAGGATGGCCGTGCGACGCTTCTCTTGCTGCTGTGTCCGCCTCGCTCTCCATCGCACGCGCTTCTCGGCTCCCTAGGCAGAAGGCATCACTTCTGCCCGGGCGCAGGCCTGGCTGAGTGAACAGAGAGCAGCAACCAGCATCGTTGGTTCCACAAAAGCTGCCAAGTATCACCCTCAAAGTCAAGCGCACATGCACGCATAAAGACAGACTAAAGACAAAGATCCTCCATATAGCTATCAACTTTAGGCAAGTGCTGTTGGCGAGCACCTATGAAAGTCGGAACAGTACCGCATCCGGCTTCCTTTGTATCCCAAGTGGCGATGCTTACACACCACACCAGGTACTCATTTGATGGTTGAATCGACCTAGAGGAAGCCCGGGACCGGTTAAGATAGTCGTCACTGGTGTTGATGCTTGTGAGCGGGAATTGAACTCGGGTCGCCACTAACCTATACCAGATTGCTTCCACATATATACACAAAAAAGACCAAGATCCCCCATTATAGCCTTTATTATAGCCTTTAACATACTGTTGGGGGATAAGTGCTGTTAGCGAGCACCTATGAAAGTCGGCATGGCACACTAGGGGGTTGGTGGCCAGCACCAGGCCCGACCGCCTTTGTCTCCCTAGTGGTGATGTTTACACACCCCACTAGGTACTCGTTTGAGGCTGAGACGACATCGGGGAGGTCCAAGACAAGTTCAGATATTCGTCACTGGTGTTGGCCACGGGCGTCGAACTTGGGTGGCCGGGTTCGTAGTGTAGCACACTAACCACTACACTACCGCTTACCACATATACGGATAAATGCACACGCAGACACACTTAAAACGGCCTCACCGAATCTCAGGACTATTTCAGGAGGGTACTGCTAAGTGGTTTTGCAGTAGAGGGGTATAACAATTGCTGTGTTTCCCACATAAGTGACTCAGTCGCGACTCATTTTATTTTACATTTGGCACATTTGGGCCAAGACGCAGAAACGCAATGGCCTACTCTTTTTCAAATTGCCACGATTATTTGTTGTTGTTTAACCCCATTGTGAAGCAGGTTCTGCGTATTTTTTTGACGGTTAATATGCCCACAGTATTAACTGGGGCCAGCCTGTCAGAATCGAACCATGTACCCACTGCAGCACTACACGTGGCAGCCACACGGACACGTTTCACCTGCAGGAGTACGCTGTGTACAACTAGCGGTATACAACTATCTGTGGCAATGCGTGATCTGTCTTTGCTTTCTGATCGTCAGGTTTCATCAACAGGAACCAAATCGTTTCGTGACAGACCTAACACAGAGAAAAAATATGAATTAATGCAAATTAATTTTTAAAAGGTAAATCATATAATTTCAAATGTTTTTCTTTTAAAATTTTAGCCAATTAAGGAATTAAAAAGTGCAATATTAAGCATTAAAAGTACCATCAATCCACAACATTGCACAAAAAAAATTCAGCATCGTTTAAAAAATGGTGCAAAGCTTACTCCTCATTCAATTCTCTAATGATGGCATGACATCTGTTGCTATGTTTGATTCTTTACATATATTTGGTGTTCGACAATATAATTTAATGAGATTATTTCGTTAGTACATCCTCAATTAGCACGGATGGCTACGTATGGTGCTAAAGAAGTTCAACATACAATCATTCGCAACATGCATGGCACAACATTTGCTATGCTTTAATGTTTTTTTTTTTTCACACTTCACCTTTGCCAATATACTGTAAGTACAAATCTTATTTATAATATGGGCAACATTAAATAAAAGCGTCCTCAAATATCGACAACATATGAAATAATTAGAGGTATGAAACATGGTTAATAATCAAACATATAGAAAGGTAACGCATTGCAATGTTGTCGAGATACGCCCCACACCACTGTCAGACACAGATGCTTGTGCTCCCTCCCATAGGGTCGTCTCGTTTTCCAAGCCCTCCGACGCTTGCCGTTGTGGAGTTTGCGTCTCTCTCTCTATACCCCCGCGGTCGCGTGGATTGAGAATATACTAAATGACTTTAATGAACACTGTGCAGAAATTAAAACATGTATAAATAATCAAACATAGCAACATATATAAATGCCCTAAGTTTGACATGAGATGATCATTGTATAACTACACTCGAAAAACAGCTCGCCACGGCGGTGAGATGTTAACTACCTCGCCTGGTATACAGGAGGTCGTGCGTTCGATCCCAAACCTCTATTTTTTTGCTGCTTGCATTTTCTCCCTGGATTCTTCTCCGGACCCTCCGATTTTTCCCTCCTCCACATTCAGAATCAACATCACGCACTTTTAGACTATTTGGCTGCTATAAATGCCCACACGATAAGCCACGCTTCGTTGAGGTATCATTAGCGATGGCCGGGATCGCTTCTGAAAAATAGTGAAACAATTACAACCTTGCTCAACCCACACACATACACACGCGTGTCAATTTATATACTGCAACTTTGATCAAGAGCGCCGTTTGTGGCTGGTCGCTCGGCTGTCTAGGGCCCCCTGTGGCCCCACAGATTGAACTCTGTAACGCGTGATGGGGGGCAGGGGGTCCAATGAAGGGGAGAGCCTCTCGCGTGCTCCTCTTGTATCAACCCTAGATGGGTCTCGGCAATGAACAACGTTCGAGAATCGATCGGCGCTTTGTTTTAACAGTCCCTCCTCAACCTGTCGACGGAATCCCCGGACACCACGGAGGCCCCCAGCTCGGAGCCAGGGCCCCGGGTAGGGCCAGGCCCCCGGGTTCGGCCTTCACTGGCCTCCCCGCATTTGCCATTACGAGTCCTTGCAATCCGCTATCGCCCTTGGCGCGGTCCGGCGGTGACCAAAACAAAGAGACGAAGTCACGGCGACTCTTCCCATTGTTTGCGTTCACTAACTTACGTGCAGGGCCAGAGCAAGCAAGGCAGGCAGAGCAAGGCAGAGCAAGGTATAGCGAGCAAGGCAGGCAGAGCAAAGTAGAGCAAGGTAGAGCAAGATAGAGCGAGCAAGGTAGAGCAAGATAGAGCGAGCAAGGCAGAGCAAGATAGAGCGAGCAAGGCAGAGCAAGGTAGAGCGAGCAAGGCAGAGCAAGGTAGAGAGAGCAAGGTAGAGCGAGAAAGGTAGAGCAAGGTAGAGCAAGGTAGAGCGAGCAAGGTAGAGCAAGATAGAGCGAGCAAGGCAGGGCAAGGCAGGCAGAGCAAGGTAGAGCGAGCAAGGTAGAGCAAGGCAGAGCGAGATATGCGAGGCCGAGCGAGCAAGAGCAAGATAGAGCAAGCAAGGTAGAGCGAGCAAGGCAGAGCGAGATATGCGAGGCAGAGCAAGATAGAGCAAGGCAGAGATATGCGAGGCAGAGCGAGCAAGGCAGAGCGAGCAAGATAGAGCAAGGCAGAGATATGCGAGGCAGAGCGAGCAAGAGCAAGATTGAGCGAGCAAGATAGAGCAGGGCAGAGATATGCGAGGCAGAGATATGCGAGGCAGAGCGAGCAAGGCAGAGCGAGCAAGATAGAGCAAGGCAGAGATATGCGAGGCAGAGCGAGCAAGGCAGAGCGAGCAAGCGCGTTATTCCATCAGACCGCGGCAACGTCTGCCGCTCATTATAACCACTGCCTTTGAATTGAGAATTGAGCAAGGCGGGTTAAACCACCACCCCCGCACCCCCTAAAATCACACAACACGACTCTCGCAACGCGATTCAGTTTGAAGAATAACAATATAATCGGGGGCCTGGGTGTGTTTGGTTGTTAAAACGCAGCGCTGTCCCAACCGCGGACGAAACGCGCGCAGTTTCCCGGCAGCCTGCGGCACCCCCCACCCACCCCGCCTGGCTCGCTGCCTGCAGCAGCAGCAGCAGCAAGAGGCCGGTTGATGGCGCCACGAGAGAGGTTCGTCTTCACCCCGAGTCGTCCTCCCACCACCACAACCACCACCACCACCACAATCACCACTGCCACCACAACCGCCGCCGTCAACCGCCGCCTCGGGCCCTCCTCGCGAGCCACGAGGCCCCGGGCCCCGCGGGGAAGCGGGCGGCGCCTCCGTCTCCAGCCCCACTGCGAATTCACGCCGCCTGTAAAGCCGCGAGCGCAGCAGCGCTGCAGACTCATGAGCGCTCGCCCCATCAACAGCCCGGCGGGATCACGACTATTAGCCCTGACCGCTTTGTCCCCGACATGCGAACCATAACTCTTAAATACTGTAATTGACAAATGCGACACCCCCCAATCCATATCTTTCACCATAAAAACACGAATGCGCTAGCCACGAACCCCAATGCTTGACCGCTTAGCACTCACCACCATTGAACCTGTAGCCACCTAACGCCTCACACGAACTCTTATCCATGTCGAACCCATGTCCAACCCAGCCCCGATGCTGTGACCGTCTCTCTCCGTGTTCATCACTGGCCGTGTAAATCAACTGCAGTGTCTAAACGGCGTTTTGTTTGGTGCATCGGTGCATCGCTGCGCGCCACCCACTCCACTTCTGTACGGCCGCCGAAACAAAAGACAAAGTTCCCCCGTGTAGCCTTCACAGACTGTTGGGGCAAGTGCCGTGCTCGAACGGCAGCACCTACGAAGGCCGGCACTGTGGCACACGAGGGGGTGGGTGGCCCAGCAAACACGCCCGGCCACCTTGGTCTCCCCCCTTAGTGGCGACGTTTACACACCGCACCAGGTACTCGTTTGAGGCCGAGTCGACCTAGGGAGAACCCGGGGACCGGTTCAGATCTTCGTCGCCGGTGTTGGCCGCGAGTGGTTAAAAATCCGACTCGGCTGGCCCGGGGGTCGTGGGCGCATTCCCGATGAAAATATCCCACTGTGGACACGGCCATCGTATACGCGCATTGTACACCGACGAGGCACGAAACGTACAGCAGGTTCAAAGGTGTGCGGAGAGATGACGCCTGCGTGTAAACCACACGGAGGGGCTCAAGAATGATGGCGCGGCATCGGGGGCCCAGGCACCGCCGACAACTCGAGATGTCGCCAAGACCTCGGCCAAGTGGAAGTGGCGCTCTGGCAGGGCGCGCGAATTCGATGTCGTGGCCGGGAGGCGAGTCTGGCGGCCGATGGAATGGTGGCCGAAGGGGGCAGGATTCGCCTCAAAGCCTTGAGAGAATTCTATTAAAATGTGAGGCGAGAATGTGGATTGGCTGACAACAACTTCTAATTGGAAGCGGTGTCCTTCCCCCGCACCTCCAATTAACGCGGTTGGCTACGTTCGGTGCGAAAGAAGTTCAACAGTACATACGTAGAGCCTGACTAATACTAACTATATTACTTATACCTCAGTACCAACGTACCCTTATCCTGAACTCTATCGCTAACTCAATGCCCCAACCTAATCCTAACCAAAACACCGGCACGATATAACAAATTACATTTACTGCCCGTGACTAAATAACCATGACATTTCTCGATCTCATCAAGCTGGTTTGATCCTGGTTAGCTGTAGGTGGACAGAGTGGGAATAAGAAATGTGGGCTTAGGTTTTTATGTGGCCTAGAGATGATGCCAGTACAGACATAGGTTGTTTAATACTGTATACGCGAAGTGTTGAATGTTATGAACTAAAACTATTTTTTTTATTTTACCAGGTAAGGCCGACTGAGCTACATAGCTCTTGTTTAGAAGCCACCTGCCCACAAATGAGAGCTCAACGAAGTGGCTTATCACGTGAACATGTATAACAGCCAAATACTCTGTACCCTCGCATGCAGAGATGTACTCCAGTAACTTTAACTTCCGCCTCCCCATACCATAAACACCGATTTATAGCAGTGGCCAACCATCCCAATGCAGGAACATTCCTGAGTCTTGGGTCTCGGTGAGTCTAGAAAACACATGATCACTCAATAATATTCGTGGCATGAAGGTGTGCCTTGCTCAAGAGAGCTCAGGGGTATATAGTCTCTTCTCCACTGGTAGACAACAGAATGGCACCCGATATAATATATCCACTATCCAACCCTCTCCACATTGCTGACCATATTCAAACATTTATTAATATAACATGTCAGGATTAAGTATTATAATTGCGTACGAAGGAGAACTTTATATTAAAACATAATTAAACAGACTGCACACAGAATGTGTACACGTTTTCATGTATGTTGGACTTCTTTCGCACCGTACGTAGCCAACCATGCTAATTCATGGTGTCGCATTGCTACTCACTACAAACAGCCAACATGCTGTGTGCTAGGCATTGCACTCTGACTCCTGGTAGTGCCCATCATTCTGTCTACGGGGTATTTTAAAGAAGTTCCACTTTTTAGGAATCCAACAGTAATTGTACAATGGGTAAACTGGGCCCTGCCATCGTAATGTGGAATTTAGACCATTGGCTCAAGGAGTTGAGCACCACACCACCTCAATCATCGTGTGAGCAGTGACACTTTTAATTTGGCGGTAGCAGCTGATGGTGTCCTTGTTCAAACTTTTACAACGATATAAAGTATTTTCCACATCCTTGTCACTTTGGGTGATGTACATTGTCACCGTGCTCCAAGAAGGGCTAGAAAACTGAAATGTGACTTCAGTCGAACCTATTTGCCGAGAACTCCAAAGGGTCAAAACTACCAAACCTTCGAATCAGTTGCTGGAAAGATCACCCCACAATACTTTCTGTCCGTCAGGCCAGAACACTCTACCCCCGTCTTGGGAAGGGGTAGCGGAGTCCCCACACTCTACCCCCCGTCTTGGGAAGGGGTGGCGGAGTCCCCTCACTCTACCCCCCCGCCACGCGCGACCTGGAGCACGGGCAGGACCACCTGGCGACCTCTGGGCTACTCGCACGCCACGCACGGCCCACAGAGACGAGCAGGACTCCTCTCTCATAAAGGAGCTGTGGCTGTGGCGGGGATGGGAGCCTGTGGCGGGGTGGGTACGAGCTATAGCCGAGGGGGTGAGATTTGTAACAGAGTAAAGAGCTGATAGCGGAGGGGGGTAAGAGCTGTAACCGCGTGGTTATTTATTATGCAGCGAAGGGGGTAAGATTTGTAACCGAGGGGGTAAGCATCTCTCACGGGGGGGGGGGGGGTTGGGGGTCTCGGCGGGGAGAGATTCCGCAGGGGACCCATCGCCACTTCCCTGCTCAGGGCCCATTCCCACGCCGCTCTCGGGATCGGTGCGTTTGCGGATCACCCTGTCCCTGCTGCCCGTGTCGATGGTGTACATACGATATTCTTCCGACAAGGAAGCGACACACACACACTGTACGGAGCGCGTTTGAATCGCACACGCACGCCGACTCTACTCGGGGTTGGCGCATCACAAAGTCTCTTCGCGCCCCCCACTCCCCAAAACCCACATCAACAACGCGGCGGAATTATTTCGACGTGCAACTGCGTAAATAATGAATGAACGCGGAATTAGTGCGCAGACGGCAAACCCGAGCGGCGGCGGCGGCGGAGAATCCTTCACGCGACTCGGGGCGAGGGGAGCGCGCGTTCCCCCGGGCGAGTCTCTGGGTGATTGAGAGGCTCTGCTCATCGCGTCCCTACCTTCGGAGCAGGCGAGGGAAGCGTCTTCCAGCCGACACCCAATTGAACCTCTACCGCCACGGGGTCCCCCCGGCAGCAGCAGCGGCGGTGGCGGTAGCCGGACGAGCGCCACCCCTCCTCCTCTGTTCCAATATGGCATCTGCGTGTGTGGGCGCATGCGCCAATGCTGCTGCTCAGACACGCGTGGCGCTCGCACTCCCGTTTCTACTGCTGCTACTGCTGCTTCTAGTCATGGTACTACTACTGCTGCTTCTAGTCATGGTACTACTGCTGCTACTGCTGCTTCTAGTCATGGTACTACTACTACTGCTGCTTCTAGTCATGGTACTACTACTACTACTGCTGCTTCTAGTCATGGTACTACTACTACTATTGCTGCTTCTAGTCATGGTACTAATACTACTGCTGCTTCTAGTCATGGTACTAATACTACTGCTATTGCTGCTTCTAGTCATGGTACTAATACTACTGCTGCTTCTAGTCATGGTACTAATACTACTGCTATTGCTGCTTCTAGTCATGGTACTAATGCTACTGCTGCTTCTAGTCATGGTACTAATACTACTGCTATTGCTGCTTCTAGTCATGGTACTACTACTACTGCTATTGCTGCTTCTAGTCATGGTACTAATGCTACTGCTGCTTCTAGTCATGGTACTACTGCTGCTGCTTCTAGTCATGGTACTAATACTACTGCTATTGCTGCTTCTAGTCATGGTACTAATACTACTTCTACTACTGCTATTGCTGCTTCTAGTCATGGTACTACTACTACTGCTGCTTCTACTATTGCTACTGCTGCTGCTATTGCTGCTGCTACTGCTGCTTCTAGTCATGGTACTACTACTGCTATTGCTGCTTCGAGTCATGGTACTACTACTGCTATTGCTGCTTCTAGTCATGGTATTACTACTGCTGCTTCTACTATTGCTACTACTGCTGCTTCTAGTCATGGTACTACTACTACTGCTGCTTCTACTATTGCTGCTTCTAGTCATGGTACTACTACTGCTATTGTTGCTTCTAGTCATGGTACTACTACTACTGCTGCTTCTACTATTGCTACTACTGCTGCTTCTAGTCATGGTACTACTACTACTGCTGCTTCTACTATTGCTGCTTCTAGTCATGGTACTACTACTGCTATTGTTGCTTCTAGTCATGGTACTACTACTACTGCTGCTTTTACTATTGCTACTACTGCTGCTATTGCTGCTTCTAGTAATTGTAGTAATACTGCTGCTTCTACTATTGATGCTTATAGTAATGGTACTACTACTGCTGCTGCTATTGCTGCTTCTAGTCATGGTACTGCTACTGCTGCTTCTACTATTGCTACTGCTGCTGCTATTGCTGCGTCTAGTCATGGTACTACTACTACTGCTGCTTCTACTATTGCTACTGCTGCTGCCATTGCTGCTTCTAGTAATTGTACTACTACTACTGCTGCTTCTACTATTGCTGCTTCTAGTAATGGTACTACTACTGCTGCTTCTGCTATTGCTGCTGCTGCTATTGCTGCTTCTAGTAATTGTACTATTGCTACTGCTGCTGCTATTGCTGCTTCTAGTAATTGTACTACTACTACTGCTGCTTCTACTATTGCTGCTTCTAGTAATGGTACTACTACTGCTGCTTCTGCTATTGCTATTGCTGCTGCTGCTATTGCTGCTTTTAGTAATTGTACTATTGCTACTGCTGCTTCTACCATTGCTACTGCTGCTGCTATTGCTGCTTCTAGTCATGGTACTACTACTGCTGCTTTTACTATTGCTACTACTTCTGCTGCTATTGCTGCTTCTAGTAATTTTACTACTACAGCAGCTTCCACTAATGGTACTACTGCTGCTGCTACTATTGCTACTACTGCTGCTATTGCTGATTCTACTATTGGTGCTACTGCTGCTATTGCTGCTTCAAGTATTGGTACTATTGCTGCTGTTATTGGTGGTGCTATTACTACTGCTGTTTCTACTACTGCTGCTATTGCTGCTGCTATTATTGCTTCTAGTATTGCTACTACTACTGCTGTAATTGCTGCTACTACTGCTACTATTGGTGCTGCTATTACTACTGCTGTTGCTACTGCTGCTTCTAATGCTGCTACTACTGTTGCTACTGCTGCTTCTACTGCTGCTACTACTACTGCTATAACTGCTACTGCTTTTACTACTGCTGCTATTTATGCTGTTTGCTGCTGCTACTGCTGCTGCTATCGTTACTACTACTGCTACTATTGCTGCTACTACTACTGCTACTATTGGTGCTGCTATTACTACTGCTGGTACTTCTGTTGCTACCGCTGCTTGTATTGCTGCTTGTATTACTGCTGCTATTGCTGCTACGACTACCACGTCTGCTGCTTCTTCTATTGCTACGACTACTACTAGCAACTACTGCTGCTCCGACGACGACTGCTACTACTGCTGCTACTGTTGCAGTGGCTACTGCTGCTATTATTGTTGCTATTATTACTGCTATTATTGCTGCCATTGTTGTTCCTTATGCTAATACTGTTACAATTGCTGCTACTGCTTCTACTATTGCTACTCTTGATACTATTGTACTGCTACTGTTGCTGTTACTATTTCTGCCACTATAGCTATTGCTGATACTGTTGTTGCTGTTACTATTCCTGCTGCTACTGCTGCACCTTCTGTCGTAGCTGCCCGTTCCTCTTATTCTCATTGTTTGTACGGTATTGCTGCAGATGAAGTACGGTACAACTCTCCCTGTTCGTGCGCGATGAGTCTCTCTCACACCACACAACGCTGAGTCTCTCTCACACAGCGCTGAGTCTCTCTCACACAACACAGCGCTGAGTCTCTCTCACACAACACAGCGCTGAGTCTCTCTCACCACACAGCGCTGAGTCTCTCTCACACCACAAAGCGCTGAGTCTCTCTCACCACACAGCGCTGAGTCTCTCTCACACCACACAGCGCTGAGTCTCTCTCACACAGCGCTGAGTCTCTCTCACACAGCGCTGAGTCTCTCTCACACCACACAGCGCTGAGTCTCTCTCACACAGCGCTGAGTCTCTCTCACACCACACAGCGCTGAGTCTCTCTCACACAGCGCTGAGTCTCTCTCACACAGCGCTGAGTCTCTCTCACCACACAGCGCTGAGTCTCTCTCACACAGCGCTGAGTCTCTCTCACACAACACAGCGCTGAGTCTCTCTCACACAACACAGCGCTGAGTCTCTCTCACACCACACAGCGCTGAGTCTCTCTCACACAACACAGCGCTGAGTCTCTCTCACCACACAGCGCTGAGGCTCTCTCACACCACACAACGCTGAGTCTCTCTCACACCACACAGCGCTGAGTCTCTCTCACACAGCGCTGAGGCTCTCTCACACCACACAGCGCTGAGTCTCTCTCACACAGCGCTGAGTCTCTCTCACACAACACAGCGCTGAGTCTCTCTCACACAACACAGCGCTGAGTCTCTCTCACACAGCGCTGAGTCTCTCTCACACCACAAAGCGCTGAGTCTCTCTCACACAGCGCTGAGTCTCTCTCACACCACACAGCGCTGAGTCCCTCTCACACAACACAGCGCTGAGTCTCTCTCACACAGCGCTGAGTCTCTCTCACACAGCGCTGAGTCTCTCTCACACCACACAACGCTGAGTCTCTCTCACACCACACAGCGCTGAGTCTCTCTCACACAGCGCTGAGTCTCTCTCACACAGCGCTGAGTCTCTCTCACACCACACAACGCTGAGTCTCTCTCACACAACACAACGCTTAGTCTCTCTCACACCACACAACGCTGAGTCTCTCTCACACCACACAACGCTGAGTCTCTCTCACACCACACAGCGCTGAGTCTCTCTCACACCACACAGCGCTGAGTCTCTCTCACACCACACAGCGCTGAGTCTCTCTCACACCACACAGCGCTGAGTCTCTCTCACCACACAGCGCTGAGTCTCTCTCACACCACACAGCGATGAGTTTCTCTCACACCACACAGCGCTGAGTCTCTCTCACACCACACAGCGCTGAGTCTCTCTCACACAACACAGCGCTGAGTCTCTCTCACACAGCGCTGAGTCTCTCTCACACCACACAGCGCTGAGTCTCTCTCACACAGCGCTGAGTCTCTCTCACACCACACAGCGCTGAGTCTCTCTCACACAACACAGCGCTGAGTCTCTCTCACACAGCGCTGAGTCTCTCTCACACAGCGCTGAGTCTCTCTCACACCACACAGCGCTGAGTCTCTCTCACACCACACAGCGCTGAGTCTCTCTCACCACACAGTGCTGAGTCTCTCTCACACCACACAGCGCTGAGGCTCTCTCACACCACACAGCGCTGAGTCTCTCTCACACCACACAGCGCTGAGTCTCTCTCACCACACAGTGCTGAGTCTCTCTCACACCACACAACGCTGAGTCTCTCTCACACAACACAACGCTGAGTCTCTCTCACACCACACAACGCTGAGTCTCTCTCACACCACACAACGCTGAGTCTCTCTCACACCACACAGCGCTGAGTCTCTCTCACACCACACAGCGCTGAGTCTCTCTCACACCACACAGCGCTGAGTCTCTCTCACACCACACAGCGCTGAGTCTCTCTCACACCACACAGCGCTGAGTCTCTCTCACACCACACAGCGCTGAGTCTCTCTCACACCACACAGCGCTGAGTCTCTCTCACACCACACAGCGCTGAGTCTCTCTCACACCACACAGCGCTGAGTCTCTCTCACACCACACAGCGCTGAGTCTCTCTCACACCACACAGCGCTGAGTCTCTCTCACACCACACAGCGCTGAGTCTCTCTCACACCACACAGCGCTGAGTCTCTCTCACACAACACAGCGCTGAGTCTCTCTCACACCACACAACGCTGAGTCTCTCTCACACAGCGCTGAGTCTCTCTCACACAGCGCTGAGTCTCTCTCACACCACACAGCGCTGAGTCTCTCTCACACCACACAGCGCTGAGTCTCTCTCACACCACACAGCGCTGAGTCTCTCTCACACCACACAGCGCTGAGTCTCTCTCACCACACAGTGCTGAGTCTCTCTCACACCACACAGCGCTGAGTCTCTCTCACACCACACAGCGCTGAGTCTCTCTCACACCACACAGCGCTGAGTCTCTCTCACACCACACAGCGCTGAGTCTCTCTCACACCACACAGCGCTGAGTCTCTCTCACCACACAGTGCTGAGTCTCTCTCACACCACACAGCGCTGAGT